AAACATTAGACGATGCCAAAATGATAACAGATTTGGAAGAAATATTTGTTGAGGAGCTTAAATAAAAAAACAGATTTTTAAGACTTGTGTTCAGTTTATAGATTATGTCATCAAAAAAATCAAACAAATAATTATATATATTTATAACATTTTATTGGAATATGTATTTATATAAACATAAATAAAACAAGATACCTGTTACTGTTTTACACAATTTTAAAATATTATATAATTAAAACGTTATATCTATCATATATTCAAGAGAGCCGAATCAAGATTAAAGCGGAAACTTTCATTCTCAATTCTCCTCCGAAGCGAACGGACGTGTTTTTCTACTCTCGTTAACTTTGTTGATTATTTATGAATAAACGTTTAAACCGATACGAATTTATTTTGTATTAATAAAACCTTCAGCCGTTTGCCTTCCGCGCAGTGAACTAAACTGTGTAGTTTTTGTTTCTTTTGTTTAAACTCTCAGTTTACCTAAATTATTTTCACATTCTCCTATTTCTCGTCTTTCGCGATAAACGGTTCCTCTCCCGCTCGCGCCTCTCTCGTGTGTTTATCTATACCTTATCTTGATTCCAATCTATTACTCCGCTCCCTCTCACTTCTTATAGTGTGCATATCTAAAACTTGTCTTGTTTTTAATTTTTTTTTCTGTTCTCGCACAGTAAGCTTTTTTCGATTAAATAGTGCTTCAAAATAATAATTATATCTTATTATGTCAGAAATTGTCTGCTATTTAAAATCTTGTAACAAAATAATTACAACTAACCAGCCGAGCTTTTTGTGTTGGCTTTGTGATAATGTGGTTCATGTCAAATGTGCCAATTTCCGTGCCACCGTATCGGACGTTTTGGCCCGAGGCGATTCCGGCTTACATTATTGCTGTGAACGTTATCGGGGGACTTAAAGGGAAATGAGATCTTTTATGCGGCAGACAAAAAATGGTTTTCGTGAGGTGCTTGGCGCTTTTCGTAAAGCCAGCGATTTGCTCACGGCGCTGAACACCCAATTTAATATTATCCAATTGTTAAATGAGTCTTCAAAGCGTAAAAAATCAAACTCTTGTGTGCCGAAGATCACTAGTTCCCTTCTCCTTCCCACTTCTTACCTTGAGAACACTGAAGTGTCGCCGCAGCTGTTTGGAACGCCTATGGCCATCACTCCGGTGAGTACGAAAAATTCGGCATCCGAATTTTCTGGACATGATGGTAGGAAATCGTTAAATAGTTTGTCTGCTTCAAGGCTCCTGGCTCCTACAGAGCCAATTTCCATTAACATCAACCCACCCGATACACTGCAGGGGAATTTCGTGCCCGGACTACCGGCGTGCACTGGCAGTGCAGGATTAGAACCTGCTACACCAAAGCCCCTATAGGTAATCCCACCTGACAAACATATATTGGTTTCCCGGCCTTCCGAGGATACGTCTGAGGCAGACGTATTGGCATACATGCAAGCCAGAACGAAAGCCGACATCAAGGTGGATGACATAACTAAATTTAAATATCATTATAATAGAAAAGTATCATCATTTAAGATACGCGTCCCCTCGGTGGAATTTGACAAAATGTGCTCAACCAAGTTCTGGCTGGAACACATTTTCGTTCAAGAACATCGACCGGGACATAAAAAAAAGAAAATTAATCGACCTGCGGCGGTAAAACTCCCCCAAACAAAAGCCACTGAGCAACCCCTCGCAAAAAACTAACATCGTCTCTCATTCTTTCCTATCATAACACAAGGGGGTTGCGTACTAAGCTTCCTACGTTGCTTTCTGAGAGCTTTTCTTTTGCATCCTAAATAATTGTTTTTACCAAAACATGGCTGGTTTCGGAAATTCTTAGCTCTGAAATAGGTATGTAAAATACAGGCTTGATCGATCACTCGGATCCGGGGGTGGAGTGTTAATTTCTGTCGACTCTAAACTCGTATCCGAGCAGATTAATCTTCAATTCGTTCATTTGTGTTAAACTTTCGCTTCCTGGTAGGTTTTTATTCATTACGTGTTCTTACATCCCTCCCAAGTCCGACCCATCCACGTATGAGTTGCACCTAGCGGCCATACAGTCCGTTTTTACGTTATTATCAGATTCCTCACATCATGATTTTATTGCAGGTAGGTTAGACATGACCCTGGAACAAATTAACCATGTTAAAAACTCTTTGGGTCGGTTACTCGATCTATGCTTTATCTCAGATTCGGACTCCGTATTTATGTCCAGGGTTCCACCACTTACACGCCCTGAGGATCTTTATCATCCCAGTCAGGAGCTGGCGATCGATGCTGGGCCACTCCAAGCACCTGAGCCTACTAGGGCTGTCAAAAAGGTTCGATGTTTTAGCATGTCAGACTTTCTTAAACTTAATATTCTTATCTCTGATTTTGACTGGTCCGATCTCTACGCATGCAATGATATGACTTAAGCTTTAAACATATTCTACCATGCATTAAACCTAATTTTTGATATATGTGTCCCGATGAGGCCAGAATGGATAACCCTCCTTGGTATACCAAGGAGTATACCAAGTATACCAAGGCACCTTAAAAAATATAAAGTTCAGGCTTCAGAACAAATACTTAAAAACTAGAACTCCGCCTAGTTACTCTCAATACTTAATTGCTCGGTCAAATTTTACCGTGCTTAACGCTCAGTGTTATAAAAATTATTTAGCTCGTTGTAGGACCCAATTTACACAGGATCCGAAACAGTTTTATAATTTCGTTAAGACTAAGCGTAGACCAAAAACGTTTCCTTCAGCACTAACGTTTGAAAACTCAACGGCGAGAACTGATCAGGCAATAGCCGATATGTTCGCCAAGTTTTTTCAAACCACATATTCACCTTCGACAACCGCTAGGCAGCCTAATGTGCACGGTGTTCCGCAGTCAAACCTCGTCACGCGACCTTTTCTATCCAAGAGTGGTATTCTTAAAGGTCTTCAGAGTATTAAGCCTTCCTACTCTCCGGGCCCCGACGGCGTTCCCGGCTGTGTGCTTAGGTACTGCGCGTCTTCCATTTGCAATCCTCTTCTCAAACTGTTTAACCTCTCGCTTGAAACAACTACGTTTCCCCCTATTTGGAAGGAATCTTTCATCATTCCTTTACACAAGAAAGGGAAAACTTCGGATGCCGGTAATTATAGAGATGTCTCTAAATTATCAGCAATTCCTAAACTCTTTGAGAAAATTATTGTGCCCCATTTGCAACACCAGTGTAGATCAGTAATACCTCCATATCAACATGGTTTTATGACTCGACGGTCTACAAACTTACTTGAATTTACCTCTTATGTCATCACTGGGTTCCGAAAAAGTTTTCAGACAGATGTCATCTACACTGACTTTAGTAAAGCATTTGACTCTGTAAATCACTCACTTTTAGTTCATAAACTTGAATTTATCGGATTCCCATGCGATCTTCTTAGGTGGGTTGAAAGTTATCTGACTGGTAGAAGGCAACGTGTTTTATTTAAAGATATCTTGTCTGGTCCGATTTATGCTTCATCCGGTGTCCCTCAGGGAAGCCATTTAGGTCCGCTATTTTGAACATTATTCATAAATCACTTTCCAATCGCTTTAACAAATTCTTTTATTTTAATGTACGCAGATGATGTGAAACTTTGTATTCAATATAAAGATGCGTGCTACCAGAGAAAACTACAATCTGACTTTCAATTTTGGTGCTCTGCAAACGTACTAAATCTTAACGGCTCTAAGTGTAAAGTAATGACCTTCAGTCGCTCTAAGCCGTCAATATCCACTTATACATTTTGTGGTGTAACCCTAGATAGAATTAAACTAGTAGACGACTTAGTGTCCTTTTGGATGCCAAACTTACATTTTCTGACGACATACGAGGTGTGTTCAAAAAGTAAGGTGACTCTTCAAATTTCGCGAATTTCAAATTTTTCGATTATCGAAACCTTTTAGAAGTTATACGAGGTGTGTTCAAAAAGTAAGGTGACTTTTCAAATTTCAAATTTTTCAAATTTTTCGATTATCTTCAGTTTTGGGAACAAGAAAAAGTCACATGGGGCCAAATCCGGTGAATATGGTGGCTGAGGCATTATTGTGGTGTTGTTTTTGGCCAAAAAATCCAAATCCTTTGATCCATATTTTTCGATAGCAAAAAATCGCCGAGCTCGCAAAACAACTTGTAACTTTACGCCTCTCACAACCAAACAAAAGAGGATGTTCCATTGAAACTTGGTACAGATGTTAGGGAAGAGTGTACCCATATAACAAAACAAAAAAATCGATAATCGAAAAATTTGAAATTCGCGAAATTTGAAGAGTCACCTTACTTTTTGAACACACCTCGTATTTTCCATGGTTAACAAAGCCAGAGGTGTGTTAGGTTTTATAATAAGATGGTCGAAAGAATTTAATGACCAAAACTTTATTTCTCTTTCTTTATCTCTCGTTCGTCCGATCTAAGAGTATGGATCTTCCGTCTGGAACCCCCAGTACGCGGTCCACCAATACCGAGCAGAAGAATCTGGCTTGCTTCGCCAGCATGCTATGTTCTGACTGCAACATTTCTTATTGTCTTCTGGTCTTTGTTAAAACCACAACTTTTGAAAGGAAGTATTTTTTACACGTTAAAAAGTTTACTTTTTTATATGATATATATTTTTTAGGACGTGCACAACATTTTATTGGAAAGTTGTATTCTTATGCATACAGAACCCACTAAAAATCAAAATTTGAATAGCACCTGGAATTATCGTTTGAAAATTTATAATTCATTTGAATTTTTATTGAAATCGCAAAACTATAGATGTCCTGCGCCAACCGAAATTATTTTGGGTCTTTTAAACGAATCAAACTTATTCGTTAAAAGTATTGTGCTACGAAAAACTTATAACATTAAGGATTTGGAACTAATGCATCGACCTCAAAAGGCGGGTACTCGGTTAGAACAGGGTACTGACAATTTTACGTTATTACATTTGGATACCTCAAACATTTCCGATTTAAAAAATTCAAAATGTTTATCATGTACACCTTTCGGTCAGTGTAACATCAACGATAAAGATCAAAACTTAGTTCCTTCCAAAGATGCCGACAACTCACTTTACAATGAAGTCAATTGTACAAATTTATCAATGGAAAATATATCTACACAAAATGTTAAAAAACTTTGCACTGGCTCGTTGGGCTCTTCTCATACAAGAGGGAGTGATTTCTATACTGGCCCATCATCATGCGGCAATGTTGGACAATATAAACCAACTCTGCCAAAAGATTTTGAAACATTAGACGATGCCAAGATGATAACAGATTTGGAAGAAAATTTTGTTGAGGAGCTTAAATAAAAAACAGATTTTTAAGACTTTGTGTTCAGGTTATAGATTATGTCATCAAAGAAGAATAAATAAATATATATATTTATCAAACTTCATTGGAATATATATTTATATATAAATAAATAAAACAAGAGGAAAAGATATAGTCGAGTCCGGCGACTATAAGATACCCGTTACTGTTTTACACAATTTTACAATATTAATATTGCTAGTGGAAATTTCCAAAGCGCCATAGAACCTAAATTTCTTTATAAATAGCGAAATACAGTTCCGAGTTAAAAAATCTTTGGTAAATCGGTAGAGATTGACTAAAATTTGTTATACAAGGTCAAACGAAGACATACACTATAATATTATGGACGCCACATTTTTCCGCGGTTTGTGGGCGTTTGTGTGGGCTGCAAGATAAAGTTGCAGTGGCATCTCTTAAATACGTATTCTTAAGCACAACTTTCTTGCTCTGATAGTTCCCAAAATTTTTTCATTTTTGGTTTTCCGGGTTTTGTGGGCGTTATGGTAGGCGTGGCTAATTGGGTAAAACAATTCGCATTTAGGGCGTTTAATCTGAACTTTCTATCATTTATAGTTACCGAGATATCCGCTTTTCTAGAAAGTGCGAAAACCGTCTTTTGAGCTTGATGGGCATATGAGGGGTGTGGCCGGATAATGGTACCACCATAGGGCGCGCTGGCATCTAAGGATTATACATACTAAATTTCAACTTTCTAGCACTAATAGTTGCTGAGATTTCAAAGATTTTAGTTATTCGTGATTTGTGGGCGTGACAGGATGCTGATATAAACTAAATATTGTCTCATCTTTTGCATTTTTTAGGAGGGTACGCATAGTTGTGTATAAAGTAATATCATCGTGGTGTTCTACCCTACAACAAGGAAGCCAGTGCGAAATAATTTTGGATACCCTTATTAAAGAAATATTGGTTGATTTAATTCCATATCACCCAACTACATTAAAAAATGTAGATATATTTAAATCATTAATTCATTTTAATTTTAAAAATAACATTTCTATAATATATTCAAGACAGCCGAATCAAGATTTCTGGGCGTTAGAGTGGGCGTGGCAGGATGCTGATACTAAACTTGCGCTGTGTATAGACCTCAAGAATCTTCATGCTTAATCTCAACTTTGTATCTCTAATAGTTCCTGAGATCTCAGCGTTCATACGGACGGACGGACGGAAGGACAGACGGGCATGGCTCAATCGACTTCGCTATTGATCCTGATCAAGAATATATATACTTCATAGGGTCGGAAACGCTTCCTTCTATCTGTTACATACTTTCCAACGGGTATAAAAATTGTTGAATTGGTCCATTTTGGACGCTACTGAAGAGTTGCTGAGTGTACTCCTGATGCCATTTCGCCAGAATTCTGGATACATTGATTGAATGCTCTGCCAGTATCCTTATCGACCCTCAGAGATGTGACTTTAATCAACATCTGGTATAGTGGTAAAGGAACGTCCAATCAGAAAGTTTTCTGGCGAATGAAGTGCTGGATTGATTGAAGATTACATTAACCATTATGGGTAATGTTTTCTGGTTTCAAAATGGCACGGTGTGGAAGATAAGAGCTGGGAACATCATAATCATACTGAATTATGTCATGTGACCAATATGGAGATACTCTTGAATCACTAAGTTTTACCATGCTAAAGAGCCACAAAGAGCCATAAGAGAGCCACAAATATTTTTTTTTTTACAATGCAGAAGTCCGGCAGGTAGGATATCGGCACTAATCAGAATGCCTATCTAAGTGCTTTCACGAAACATAAAGTGTCGTAAGACGGATCTGGTAGAGGATCGAATGGTGAATATACAAAATATATATATATATATATATATACGGACACTAGCCCGGTAATCACCCAACCGAAAATACTCTTTTGACCAAGAGAAGAGAGCCACAAAAATAGTTTGTTTTACCACCCAGAAGTCCGGCAGAACGTCTATCTAAGAGCTTTCACGAAACGTAAAGTGCCATATGACGGATCTAGTGGAAGATCGAATGGTGAATATACAGAGTTTTTTGGATGGTCCGGATACAGTCAGGCAGTGTGAAGCCTTAATCAAAGCAGTTCGGAAGGACTTCAATTCCAATTTGGAATTTTTGCTTTTTTGTGTAACGACTGTTGTCGTTAGGTTTAGGTAAGGTAAGGTTTGGCAGAATACGACCTTTATTTAATTACCTCTTTAGGGGTATCAGTACATATGTATATGTACATATGTGTAAATATTGTCTCATCGTTTGCATTTTTAGGAGGGTACGCATAGTTGTATATAAAGTAATATCATCGTTGTGTTCTATCCTACAAGAACGAAGCCACTGCCAAATAATTTCGGATATCCCGATTAAAGAAGTATTGGATGATTTAATTCCATATCAGCAAAAAACTACTCTAATAAATGTAAATATATTCAAATAATTAATTCATTTTAATTTTAATACTAACATATCAATCATATATTCAAGAGAGCCGAATCAAGATTAAAGGGGAAACGTTCAACCGAAAATGGATTTTCTATGTTCGAGCAGCCAATCGGTAACGAAGAATCTGGCTTGCTTCGCCAGCATGCTATGTTCTGTCTGCAAAATTTCTTATTGTCTTCTGGTCATTTGTTAAAACCACAACTTTTCAAGAAAAGTATTTTTTACACATTAAAAAGTTTACTTTTTTATATATATATTATTATATATATTTTTTAGGACGTGCACAACACTTTGTTAGAAAGTAGTATTCTTATGCATACAGAACCCACTAAAAATCAAAATTTGAATAGCACCTGGAATTATCTTTCGAAAATTTATAATTCTTTTGAATTTTTATTGAAATCGCAAAACTATAGATGTCCTGCGCCTACCGAAATTATTTTGGGTCTTTTAAACGAATCAAACTTATTCGTTAATAGTATTGCGCTACGAAAAACTTATAACCTTAAAGATTTGGAACCAATGCTTCGAGCTCAAAAGGCGGATACTCGGTTAGAACCGGGTACTGACAATTTTACGTTAATACATTTGGGCACCACAAACATTTTCGATTTAAAAAATTCGAAATGTTTATCATGTACACCTTTCGGTCAGTGTGACATCAACGATAAAGATCAAAACTTAGTTCCTTCCAAAGATGCCGACAACTCACTTTACAATGAAGTCAATTGTACAAATTTATCAATGGAAAATATATCTACACAAAATGTTAAAAAACTTTGCACTGGCTCGTTGGGCTCTTCTCATACAAGAGGGAGTGATTTCTATACTGGGCCATCATCATGCGGCAATGTTGGACAATATAAACCAACTCTGCCAAAAGATTTCGAAACATTAGACGATGCCAAGATGATAACAGATTTGGAAGAAAATTTTGTTGAGGAGCTTAAATAAAAAACAAATTTTTATGACTTTTTGTGCAGGTTATAGATTATGTCATCAAAGAAATTAAATAAATAAATATATATATTTATCAAATTTCATTGGAATATATATTTATATATAAATAAATAAAACAAGAGGAAAAGATATAGTCGAGTCCGGCGACTATAAGATACCCGTTACTGTTTTACACAATTTTAAAATATTAATATTGCTAGTGGAAATTTCCAAAGCGCCATAGAACCTAAATTTCTTTATAAATAGCGAAATACAGTTCCGATTTAAAAAATCTTTGGTAAATCGGTAGAGATTGACTAAAATTTGTTATACAAGGTCAAACGAAGACATACACTATAATATTATGGACGCCACATTTTTCCGCGGTTTGTGGGCGTTTGTGTGGGCTGCAAGATAAAGTTGCAGTGGCATCTCTTAAATACGTATTCTTAAGCACAACTTTCTTGCTCTGATAGTTCCCAAGATTTTTTCATTTTTGATTTTCCGGGTTTTGTGGGCGTTATGGTAGGTGTGGCTAATTGGGTAAAACAATTCGCATTTAGGGCGTTTAATCTGAACTTTCTATCATTTATAGTTACCGAGATATCCGCTTTTCTAGAAAGTGCGAAAACCGTCTTTTTAGCTTGATGGGCGTAAGAGGGGTGTGGCCGGATAATGGTACCACCATAGGACGCGCTGGCATCTAAGGATTATACATACTAAATTTCAACTTTCTAGCACTAATAGTTGCTGAGATTTCAACGATTTTAGTTATTCGTGATTTGTGGGCATGACAGGATGCTGAAATAAACTAAATATTGTCTCATCTTTTGCATTTTTTAGGAGGGTACGTATAGTTGCGTATAAAGTAATATCATCGTGGTGTTCTACCCTACAACAAGGAATCCACTGCGCAATAATTTCGGATACCCTTATTAAAGAACTGTTAGATGATTTAATTATCACCCAACTACATTAATAAATGTAAATATATTTAAATCATTAATTCATTTTAATTTTAATAATAACATATCTACAATATATTCAAGAAAGCCGAGTGAAGATTTCTGGGTGTTAGAGTGGGCGTGGCAGGATGCTGATACTAAAATTTCTAAATTTCTTTATAAATAGCGAAATACAGTTCCGATTTAAAAAATCTTTGGTAAATCGGTAGATACTGACAAAAATATGTTATACAAAGTCAAACGAAGACATACACTACAATATTATGGACGCCACATTTTTCCGCGGCGTGTGGGCGTGGCCGGATAAAGTTGCAGTGGCATTTCTTAATATCTCTGATAGTTCCCGAGATTTTTGCATTTTTTGGTTTTCCGGGTTTTTTGGGCGTTATGGTGGGCGTGGCTAATTGGGTAAAAACAATTCGCATTTGGAGCGTGGTAAAAACCTACATGTTTAATCTGAACTTTCTATCATTTATAGATTTATTAAAAATCAAAATTTGAATAGCACCTGGAATTATCGTTTGAAAATTTATAATTCATTTGAATTTTTATTGAAATCGCAAAACTATAGATGTCCTGCGCCAACCGAAATTATTTTGGGTCTTTTAAACGAATCAAACTTATTCGTTAAAAGTATTGCGCTACGAAAAACTTATAACATTAAGGATTTGGAACTATTGCTTCTACCTCAAAATGCGGGTACTCGGTTAGAACAGGGTACTGAAAATTTTACGTTATTACATTTGGATACCTCAAACATTTCCGATTTAAAAAATTCGAAATGTTTATCATGTACACCTTTCGGTCAGTGTGACATCAACGATAAAGATCAAAACTTAGTTCCTTCTAATGCCGACAACTCACTTTACAATGAAGTCAATTGTACAAATTTATCAATGGAAAATATATCTACACAAAATGTTAAAAAACTTTGCACTGGCTCGTTGGGCTCTTCTCATACAAGAGGGAGTGATTTCTATACTGGCCCATCATCATGCGGCAATGCTGGACAATATAAACCAACTCTGCCAAAAGATTTCGAAACATTAGACGATGCCAAGATGATAACAGATTTGGAAGAAAATGTTGTTGAGGAGCTTAAATAAAAAACAGATTTTTAAGACTTTGTGTTCAGGTTATAGATTATGTCATCAAAGAAATTAAATAAATAAATATATATATTTATCAAATTTCATTGGTATATATTTATATATAAATAAATAAAACAAGAGGAAAAGATATAGTCGAGTCCGGCGACTATAAGATACCCGTTACTGTTTTACACAATTTTAAAATATTAATATTGCTAGTTGAAATTTCCAAAGCGCCATAGAACCTAAATTTCTTTATAAATAGCGAAATACAGTTCCGATTTAAAAAATCTTTGGTAAATCGGTAGAGATTGACTAAAATTTGTTATACAAGGTCAAACGAAGACATACACTATAATATTATGGACACCACATTTTTCCGCGGTTTGTGGGCGTTTGTGTGGGCTGCAAGATAAAGTTGCAGTGGCATCTCTTAAATACGTATTCTTAAGCACAACTTTCTTGCTCTGATAGTTCCCAAGATTTTTTCATTTTTGGTTTTCCGGGTTTTGTGGGCGTTATGGTAGGCGTGGCTAATTGGGTAAAACAATTCGCATTTAGGGCGTTTAATCTGAACTTTCTATCATTTATAGTTACCGAGATATCCGCTTTTCTAGAAAGTGCGAAAACCGTCTTTTGAGCTTGATGGGCGTAAGAGGGGTGTGGCCGGATAAGGGTACCACCATAGGACGCGCTGGCATCTAAGGATTATACATACTAAATTAAATAAATAAATATATATATTTATCAAATTTCATTGGTATATATTTATATATAAATAAATAAAACAAGAGGAAAAGATATAGTCGAGTCCGGCGACTATAAGATACCCGTTACTGTTTTACACAATTTTAAAATATTAATATTGCTAGTGGAAATTTCCAAAGCGCCATAGAACCTAAATTTCTTTATAAATAGAGAAATACAGTTCCGATTTAAAAAATCTTTGGTAAATCGGTAGAGATTGACTAAAATTTGTTATACAAGGTCAAACGAAGACATACACTATAATATTATGGACACCACATTTTTCCGCGGTTTGTGGGCGTTTGTGTGGGCTGCAAGATAAAGTTGCAGTGGCATCTCTTAAATACGTATTCTTAAGCACAACTTTCTTGCTCTGATAGATTTTTTCATTTTTGGTTTTCCGGGTTTTGTGGGCGTTATGGTAGGTGTGGCTAATTGGGTAAAACAATTCGCATTTAGGGCGTTTAATCTGAACTTTCTATCATTTATAGTTACCGAGATATCCGCTTTTCTAGAAAGTGCGAAAACCGTCTTTTGAGCTTGATGGGCGTAAGAGGGGTGTGGCCGGATAAGGGTACCACCATAGGACGCGCTGGCATCTAAGGATTATACATACTAAATTTCAACTTTCTAGCACTAATAGTTGCTGAGATTTCAACGATTTTAGTTATTCGTGATTTGTGGGCATGACAGGATGCTGAAATAAACTAAATATTGTCTCATCTTTTGCATTTTTTAGGAGGGTACGTATAGTTGCGTATAAAGTAATATCATCGTGGTGTTCTACCCTACAACAAGGAATCCACTGCGCAATAATTTCGGATACCCTTATTAAAGAACTGTTAGATGATTTAATTATCACCCAACTACATTAATAAATGTAAATATATTTAAATCATTAATTCATTTTAATTTTAATAATAACATATCTACAATATATTCAAGAAAGCCGAGTGAAGATTTCTGGGCGTTAGAGTGGGCGTGGCAGGATGCTGATACTAAACTTGCGCTGTGTATAGACCTCAAGAATCTTCATGCTTAATCTCAACTTTGTATCTCTTATAGTTCCTGAGATCTCAACCGAACGGACGGTCGGAAGGACAGACGGGCATGGCTCAAGCGACTTCGCTATTGATCCTGATCAAGAATATATATACTGTATAGGGTCTGAAACTCTTAATTCTATGTGTTATATACTTCAACGAATCTAGTAGTAAGCGAGTGGCGGGTATAAAAATGGTTGAATTGGTCCATTTCGGACGCTACTGAAGAGTTGCCTATGAGTGTACTCCTGATGCCATTTCTCCAGAATCCTTGATACATTGATTGAATGCCAGTTCCTAATCGACCCTCAGAGATGTAACTTTAATCAGGATCTGGTCTAGTGGTAAAGGAACGTCCAATCAGAAAGTTATCTGGTGACAGATAGTTTGATTACGTGTCCTATGTGTAGCATAAAGAACGCGAGTTTATTACTGCGCTGAGTCTGAAGAGTTAGATTTGGAGTTCTCATGACATCAAGCCTGCCATGGGAAGTTTTGAAGAATTTCAGAAGTTTTATACCCAACGAATGTGTAGTGGTGTTGGTACATATTATCACAAGGGGAATATTATTGTTGAGTCAGACCAACAAACACTGTTAGGGGTTTGTGTCGCAATTCAGTTGTGATCGAGCGTATAAGTTGGTCACCTCTGATAACTTAATCTACTTCAAAATTTGAACTGTTTTCGATTCCGCGTCGGGCAGTGCTGTATTTTTATTCGTTAGCATAAAAATTTATTTGCAAACGAAACAACAACAATTGTTGT